CCGCGGCCTGATCATGGCGGCTGCGGCCTGGGCGCTGGCCCCCTGGCCAGGCCGGGGACCGGGGACTGACCCCGGCAGTTGCCCAACCTCCTCCCAGCCCCTTCCCGGCTCCCCGGTACTTCCTCTCCGAGCTCCTTCCCCGAGCCCTGGATGCGGATGCTTTGATCATGGGACGGGGCTGCCCCTTCACTGTGACCCAGCCTGCGAGCTTGGCTTCCTGGGCGCCAGGGCGGCCTTGGGGGCCAGGGGACGGGGTGCACCGGCCCCCAGTGCCCCCAGGGTGTAGCCCAGAGACACCCTAGGCCTCGGCTGGTATGCCCTGTACCTTGATGGACTCCTTTTATTTAATTCCTGATGAACCTGCGGTGGAGTGGGTGGGAGGTGTAACAAGTGGCCGTTGTGGACAGGCTGAAGTTACTCAAGAGGAGACTCGCCCTTCGGGTTTCTCACACTAAGTGAAAGCAGATAACCAAAGAACTACTACTCCTTTTTCCCTAACTTTTCTACTATTCGTTTTTGGTGGGTGCCAGCCTAGGAGTCGCTCGGTCCCCGGATCAAAACGTTTGCTCATTTCCCTAAAGGAAAAAAAAAGCCAGGGTTGTATCCTGCTGACTTGTTTTTAACTCCTTTCAGACTGAAGTAACTTTAAGTGTCTTAGTAAACTGGGAAGCTTGAGCATAGCAAACACAACAGTGAAATCTTCAAGGCCAGCAGGAAGCAAAATATTGAACCAGTCCTCTTCCTTTTGGGTTTTAGTGATTATGCAATAAGTGTGGTGAGAAAAACAGTTGACTTGTGCCACCCACCTAACCTGAAACCAGGAAGTGTAGATGGTAAACTTTGACACCAGAAAACAAAGTATTTTGCAGCGCCTTGGATAGTGCAACGCCTAGAACCAGTGTTTGACCATACTTTCAAGTTGACTTTGGTACCAAGAACTCAGTTAAGTGCCTAAGGAGCAGAGTTTTCAGACCCACAAAACTGGGTTCAAACTTTGTGGCCCTGGACAAATTGCTTAACTTGCAGAACCTTTGTGTTCTCTGCTTCAGAATGGAAACATACATACTTTAGGAGGTTGTGAAGATTAGGGGCTAAGGGCTTCTATTGCATGAGTCCTTATGACACAGTCTGTTTATATCTGTGTGCTTCTGAAAGATGTAGTGTTCTGCATTTGAGGTGAGATAAACTCTAGAAGTTCCAAGTTTGGAAATACTCGCTTTCATAGTTTTCTACCATTGTTCAGTTTTCTCCTTAAAGCCCTTAGATATTTATGTGGCGTTGTTTCGCTATTTATAAACTCTGTTTCTGCTTGCCAAAATGTGGTTCTTTTCCAGAGCCATGTATATTTTTAGTATGTCGTATAAGAAATACCAACTTAATTTTAAAAGCCCAAAGAAGTCTTTACAAAACTGCCTATTTCTAAGCCAGAGAGTACCTACCAAAAGAAAACTACTAAACTTTTTTTCAAGGACCCAATTTGTGATACTTCAGAAGTTAAAGTGGCTTTACATGTTTCACAGAAAACAGAAATCGGACAACCTTCCTAGCACCATTGCTCATTTCATGTTTGTTAAAATCCATGTTTGAGTCTTCAGGTTATGATGTAAATAGTTCTCAGCTCATCTAATAGATAGTGAAAAATAACTCCTGTCTTCCTTTTTACTGTTCAGTGTGGCTTGTAGACTTGAACCAAGTTACTCAGGGACATAAAAATGTTGCCACCAAGAACTTTTCAGAGCTCTTGGATATGTCTGACATACGAAGACTAAAGCGTGAGGTTATTCTGATGAGTGCTCAGGGTTTCATTTTCATCTTTGACAGGAAGAAAAGAAATTCTTTCTTGAAAATGTAAGCATCTTACAGAACCATGTATTTGTATTCCAGTTAGACCTTACACTTAAAATGCCAGGGTTGGGCATGGTGGCACACACCTTTAATCCCAGCACTAGGGTGGCAGAAGCAGGCAGAGATCTGTGAGTTCAAGGCCAGCCTGGTCTACATAGTGGGCTCTAGGCTAGCCAGGGCTTCAGATGAGGTAACTGGCAAATAAGGAAATGGTAGAGCGATTAAGAGCTGCTCTGGTAACTGGACTGTCAGAACATGATACGATATACAGACTGCTATTATGGAGTTTGGAGAAGACATGAGTTAGATTTTGGGACTGCCTTTTTAACCAGCCGTGTGTATGGTTTGAGGCAGAAAGGCATGCCTCCAGGCTTTGGGATTTTTTTTGTAAAATGATGGGACTGAGCTAGAGTAAGAGTTGTTTAAATTCAATGACTCGTTGAAGAAGTAAATTTCCATTAAGGAAACAGTAATTGAAACTAGTATTTCACACTAGCAAATACATTTTGGAAAATCATTATTCTCTAGAGACAGTTTGGGCTGAAAAGAGATTATTACTCATTTTCTTTTTTTTTAAATTTTGTTTATTATTTTTATTTTATGTGTATGCATGTATTGCCTGCATGTAGGTAAGTGCACCCGTGTCGTGCAGTGCCTGAGGAGGAAGAGGCTGTCGGATGCGCTGGGACTGGAGTTATGGTCAGTTGTTAGCTGCCATGTGGGTGCTGGAACTTGAACCCAGGTCTTCTACAAGAACAATCAGTGTTCTTAACCACTGAGCCATCTCTCCAGCCCCTGTTACTCATTTTCTAATGGTAATAAGAAGCTGATGGTACAGCTCAGTGCTGGAGCACTTGGGTGGCATGTGCAAGGCCCTGGGTTCAATCCCAGTGTGGAAGAAACTAATTTTCTTCAAAGCTAGGTGTGGCTAGGCATGGAAGCATCCACCTGTAATCCTAGGACTTGGGAGGTGGAGGCAAGAGGATCAGCAGTTCAGGGTCATTCTCAGCTACACAACCAGTTTGAGGCCAGCCTGGTCTATATGAGAGCCTCTCTTGGGGAGGGTGGGGAGTCAGTGATAGAGTGCTTGCCTAGTATATGGAAGTTCCAGATCAAAAATAAACAGAAAAAAGATAACCAATAACTATTATATTTAAGATTTTAAGCAATGAATAAGTACAGCTAGTGGTGACTTGGGAAAACTAAGACTTTGAGTGCATATCCACTAGCAAATGAGACTTGGCTCAAAAGGAGAAATTTGCTCTTTTAAAGACAATTCATTCCCTCATGCCACTCTTAGGTTTGTGTGGTAGCAGTTGTTAAGTATAATCATAGATTTCAAACACTAACTTTGGCTATTTTAAAGACTTTCTGGAAGGTCCCAGGCCATGTTGTCCTGCTATTGTTGCACCTTCTGGTGGAATTAAGTGGGTTTTGCAGATTATGGAATGGAGGCAAAACAGATAGCCATAGGCCAGCCAGGGCTCTGGGTGCCAGTTTCTGCCCACTCTAGTCAAGCTGCTCACAAAGGCAGCTGATAGGAAGGGTTAGTGGCAGCACTCTGCAAGCCAGGCTGGCTGGACCGTTGTTATTTTGTGACCTGAATTCAACACTGTAATCAAGTTGGCTACATTGATAATTGGTAATCCCACACAAGGTACAAGTTGAACATCTGCACAGCACTTACCACTTTCCTGATTTGGGAAATGTAGCCAAGGTGACAAGGTGGGAGGTCAAAGCTGTTACTTTCTGTCAAGCCCAAGTAGCCCTTTTGTTTCCTTACAAGGAATTACAATTCAGCAGCGGCCCTTCTAGGGTAATTCAAAAAGCCCTGGCTAAGGTCCTAAGGCATCAGTTCTAAATAGCCCGTTTTAAGTTAGTTTCTCAATTATGGCTTATTCCTCTTGTCTTCCTTGCTGTGTGTTGCTTGTTTGCAGTTCCTGTCTGTTTAGCTGTGTAACAGGGCTGTGGAAACAGTTTTCATCTGACTCCTTTGGGAAAGACGTTGCTGCTGCAGAGAGTAGTTTCTCCAGTTGTTTCAACAGACAGTACGTTTATTATGTGCTTGATTAGTTCTGTATTGACTGAAAAGTGCCCCGCAGACCTTCCAGAGCACTTGCCACTGCAAACATGCTTCATGTGAACATTACTGCCTTTGCTTCTCTTTCAGCCCCCTCCCTCCTGTTTTTCCTATCTTGCCAGTAAATCTCTTCGCTTCTTGGAACTTGAAACAAAGATGAGAAGGTGATTGTCAGCTTAATCTTCCCAGAACAAGTCTGCTCTGAACAGCTGTAAAGAATTATTGCTGAAACAATGGATTAATTATCCTCCTTTTCTTCCGGTAACAGGACACAAGTCAAGTCGGAATTAAAAATTTATTTCCAAAGAAAGATGATTTTAGTTTTTCTCCTACCAGCATTTCTTGGGGGGTAACTTTCTGTAGCTCAAATTAGTATATTTAGCACTACTGTCAAGGTGCTTTTAAAAGCACTTAACTGCCTCTTATCTTTTCTGTGTTCTTTAGTTTTAGTTCACAAGTAGTTTTTCATGTGTTTACTAATGTGTCCACTGAAAGCACTTTGCCGTTTTTAAGTACCTCTCACTTATTCTGGTTTTTACAGTATCCCTCCACTGCTGAATCTTTTTGTGTATACTTCTGTATTTTTCGTACTTACTTGTTTAAAAATGCCCTTAAGAAAAAAGAAAAATGGTAGAGTGCCTACTTAGAAAGGAAGCCCTGGGTTTTGTCCCCAGCACCACATAAACGTGGATATGGTGGCACGTGCCTATAATCCCAGCACTTGGGTGGTGGAGGCAGGAGGATCAGAAGGTAAGAATTCTTCTCTTACCAAGTTCTAGGGAAGTCTGGGCAAATTGAGAAAGGAGACTGTCTACATGCCCTCTGAGGGGCGTGGAGGGGGACTTTTTAAATCGTCTAGAAACTTTTATTTTCATACCAAGATCCATGGAGGAGAAATTAATTTTTTTATTATTCAAATTTCAAACATGTTGAAAAATGGAAGCACTACAGGAAGGACTCTTTGGGCACAGGACCCAGCTTCAGCAGTTTAACTTGTGTGTGCTGT